AGAAGAAATGCTCAGCAGTATTCACATAAGTTTGGGAAATCTAAGCCTTTCTTCAAAGGTTGAGCCATCAGTTATACTACACTAGATACTGTGTCTGGCTTTAAAGCTGAAATGTTTTTGCAGAAACACAAGAACTGAGGGTTCGGCATGCAGACACATTGTACAAAATGAACTGGGATCTGTTTTTCTTTTAACTTCGTGCCAATATGAATAGTGCCCATTTCTACAAAGATCACTGAGTCAGACGCTGAAGCTACTTTCCAATCCAGCTATGTTTGAGGTTAATGTGATGTCATTACAGTACTGCATGTTGTAATGACATTTCAGTCCAGACCCTTAATACCCAAGGACTGGATCTACACCATGCAAAGAAATTCAGATTTCTCCTCATCAACCTCCCAGCTGCTGCCAATCATTTCACTTTCATGCTAAACTTTGGGTAAGGCCACATGGAAGTTGCTGCCTAACATGTTCCATTCTGTATTTGGCTTAGGGCGTGGGACCACCTGGCCTATATTAATTCAGCTTCACATTAGTATCTGCACAACCACAAACTGTTAACCATTAAAGTCCTCTCAGTTCTTCTCTAATCTTAAGTATTTCTCTGGCAGTTCAATGCTGATGACCATATGTCCGCACATGCATTCAACCAGCAAGCTTAAAGCACTTCAGTTCAGACAAGACAGGAGTTGAGGGGTGCAGCAGTGGTGAATTTGAAAGTCTGGTATTGTTTACCTTGGCAGAGAGAAGACTCCCGAGACATGTTTAAGCGTTCATCATCCTTGCGGGGGGAAATAGATAACTTGAACCCTAAGAATATGTTGGAGATTTCTACTCCAGATCGTTGTGAGGGCAGGAAGGTAGAGAGTGGAGCTGGGGGTGGGTTATGGTGGGGGCTGGGGGGGCTCTACTGGCAGGAGCTTAGGAGGAAAGATGTGCCCATGAATTTAACTATTTCATGCATAGGGTACTTCAAATTTACCTCCATAACTTCATGAACAGATAACGTGGAAGAGTAGTGAATATGTTTGAAGGAAGGTGACTGAGCACAGTGGTTTTAGAGTTTTCCAGCGACAGTCTGTTTTACATTTTATTCGAGCATGGAAAAGAATGCAGTGCAAAATGTAAAAAAGGCCACTTCCGCATTATCACTAGTTTTATTTTATCAACTAAAACTACCTCAATTATTCTGATGATAGTATTGTAAATCCATGAAAATGTCAGTTAACTATTTTTGTATCAGGGTTAAGAATTGGATTTAGAATGTAAACGTAAGAGAATTTGTATCTTAGAATATGAACATAAGAAGTCTGAACGTTATTGTTACTCTCTCACATGGAGTATGAGGACAAGTTGAATAGGTTAGGATTGTATCCATTGAAGTTCAGAAGAATGAAAGGGAATCACATAGAAACCTATAAACTTCTAACAGGACTGCACAGGGTAGATGAAAGAAGGATGTTCCCAATGGTGGAGGAATCCTGAACAAGGAGTCACAGTCTCAGAATATGGGGTAAACCATTTAGGATTGAGATGAGGAGAAATTTCTTCACCCAGAGAGTGGTGAGCCTGTGGAATTTGTACCCATGGAAAGCAATTGAGGACAAAACATTGTGTGATTTTAAGAAGGAGTTGGATATAGCACTTGGGGCTAAAGGGGTCAAAGAATATAGGGCAAAGCAACCACAGGCTGTTGAGTTGGATAATCATCTATGATCATAATGAATGGTAGACCAGGCTCAAAGGGCTGAATGGACCACTCCTGTTCCTATTTTCTGTGTTTCTACGAGTACCACACAGTTTTGATCTCCTCATCTAAGGAGAGATGTGCTTGACTTGTAAGTGGTGCAGTGAAAGCTTACTAGATTAATTTTGGCGGATGAGAGAAATTTCCTGTGATGAAAGGTTGGGCAGAACAGGCCTATACTCCCTGGAAATTAGATGAGAGGCGATCTGTTCGAAACCTAATTTTACCAGGGTTTGACAGAATAGGAGCAAAACTTGAAGAGTTTGGAAACTATGACTAGGAGGCGTTGTGTCAAAATAAGTTGATTATTTAAACCAAAGTGAAGGAGAAATTAAACCAAGAACTGCAGATGCTAGAAATCTGAAACAAAAGCCGAAATTGTAGGAGAAACACAACAGCTCGTAAAGCATCTGTGGAAGAAGACAGAAATGTCTGCACTTCCCTGATTTTCCCCTAATTTTTCTCCAATCTCCCTTCATTTCTTCTCTGAGCTCACCTTGTATAAAAGGACCTGCTCCTGTTCCCTCAATCTAATTCAGACTAAATTGCTGAACATCCAAATTCCCTCCCTGGCTCCCATGTTTCCTAATACAGTCCTCTCCTCTAAAGTATTATTCACCTCCGTTCCTTTAAATCTGCTTTCATCCCCCCATCTCCTCAACAAGAAAGATCAAATAAACCTTCCAACCTTGCAAACAGTCGCCCCAACTCTAACCTCCCTTTCCTCTCAAATCCTGGAACATGTTGTCACCTCCCAAACACATGCCCATCTCTACAGCTCCATGGTTTAACCCTTCATCAGGCTTCGGGCTCTACAGTCATACCAAAACAGCTCTCACCAAAGTCACAAATGACAATCTATGTGACAGTGGTGAAGTAAATGCTCACTCTCACTCTTTTCGGAATGTCTGAAGCTTTTCATGGGGTTGAACATGTCATTTTCCTCCATTGTTTGCCCATTTCATGCAGCAGGGTGGGATTCTGCTCACCAGGCTTCATTCTTATCGATCCAAAGACAGAGAATCACCAAAAATGGCTTCCTGCTCAGGATCTTGTGCTGCAATGGTAATGTTACTGAGCTAGTAATCCAGAACATAAGTCCAATGTGCTAGTGTCGTGAGTTTGAATCCTACTGTAGTAAATGATGAAATTTGAATTCTGGTTTAAAAAAATTTGGAATTAAAAGCTCGTATTACGGCAGCCATGTAAACCAATGTTGATTGTGGTAAAAACCTATCTGGTTCACTAATTGCCCTTTATGGAAGAAAATCTGCTGCCTTTACCTGGTGTGGATGAACTATAACCAATATCTGCATCACCGACTAGACCAGCATTTATTGCTCATACCTAATTGCCCAGAGGGCAATTAAGAGACAAAACATTGCTGTGGGTCTGAAGTCACATGTAGGCCAGGCCAGATAGGGATGGCAGTTTCCTTCCATAAACAGCATTAGTGAATTAGATGTATTTTTTTTTCTGAGAATCAACAATATTTTCATGGTTATTAGTAGACTCTTAATTCCAATGTATTTTATTAAGTTCAAACATCACCATCTGCCATGGCAGGATTTGAACCCAGGTCCCCAGAACATTAGCTGGTCTCTGGGTTAATAGTGCAATAACAATACCAATGTAGCTGACTCCTAACTGCCCTCTGGCCAATTAGGATGGGAAATAAATGCTGGCCTAGCCAATGACACTAACATGCCATGAATGAATTTGTAAGATATCACTGACTGCTCAGACATACAGCCCCTTGGTGATGTCATCCAAAATATGTTCATCACCATACCTGTGCTGCCAAAGGCCAGCATAGGCCACCAGCACCTCTCTTGACCCCTCAACCATGCTGGATAAACAAAAATTCAATATAATGTTGAGAAAACAGAAACATTGTCATTGCTCCAACAACAAATGTGATTCCCTCACCAACTCCATCATTCTCACTGGCAACTGTCAGAGGCTGAATCCAATTATTCCAATCTTGGTGTCACATTTGACCAGGAGATAAGATTCTGATCACATATCACATATATTTACAATATCACCCAACTCAGTAAATCTGAGGTCATCCAATATTCATTAAAAACTGAGAGAACTGTAGATTCTGTAAATCAGAAACATGAACAGAAATTGCTGGAAAAGCTCAGCAGGTCTGGCAGCATCTATGGAGAGAAATCAGAGTTAATGTTTTGGGTTGAATGATGCTGCCAGACCTGCTGAGCTTTTTCAGCAATTTCTGTTTGTGTCATCTAATATTCTGCTCCCCATGTTTTAACTTGTACCAAGTTCTGTTCACCTATTATCTCTGTTAACCTAGAATAGCTGGTGGTTCTGTAATGTGTCCATTTTAAAATTCTCATCCTTGTTTTCAAATCCTTCTGATAACGCTTGCCTCTTCCCAGTGGAGTTTAAGAGTCAGCCACATTGCTGTGGATCTGCAGTCACATGTAGGTCAGACTAGTAAAGATGACAGAGTTCCTTCCCCGCAGGATATTAGTGAACCAGATGGGTTTTTACAACAAGTGACAGTCCTTACATGGTTGACATTAGACTAAAATGTTTTAATTCCAGATTTTTATTGAATTCAAATTTCACCATCGGCCAAGGTGTGATGCAAGCCCATAGATATACACCACTTCTTAAAACCCACCTCTTTGATGAAGCTTTTACATCAGCCACCCTAATATTACCTCATGTGTTTCGTTTACAACTTTATTTTTTAATGCTCCTGTTTAGAATGTTTTATAAGCACCAGTTGTTGTTATTCACAGACGCTGCTCCAGATGAATGATTGTTTGATGCCGACTGGTTGTCAGAGATAGAACTGTCCATCTCCCAACACCGGCATTACTCCCTATTCCGTAAGTTCAAAATTTACACTGAACTGTAATTTTAACATATTCCTGCTAACTTCCTTCCCCAGTTCTGTGAAGATGCTACAATTTTTCAACTTCCATCTTATGCTGGTGTTGAATGTTGAAGTCCTGCTGGCTGCAGTTATAATATCAGCTGCATCTGTATTTAACTTTCAAACCAATGCAGAGTCGAACAATGGCAATCCTGTAACATTTCACAAAATCGAGGTGCCTTATGAAATATGAAGTTGGACACATTCCCTAAATCACTTCAACAAAATAGCACAGAACATCATTGATGTGGTTGTCTCCAGGCAGCTCAGTGTGTACTGTATGCTTTGAACTGGTCACAGGTTATTCAGAAACTCCTTTCCAACAGCAGATGTGGTGCCTACCTGTGCATAGTTCTCCCTGGTTAAAATGGGTAATTCATAGGCAGTGGAGAAATGACTGCGGACTTGCTGCATCTGTCCAAAGCGTTCTCGTTTCCTCCACTTAGCTCTCCTGTTCTGAAACCAAACCTAAAACCAAGGGAACGAGAGGATGTAAGTTATTTCCTTTTTCTGCGGGACACCTTTTGAATGGGAGATGACAAATACTCCAATCCCAAGACATTTTCCCCACATTACACCTCTGACTTGAGAAATTGCTGGTAGAACTTATTTTGGACCCGAATTTTCTAACTTTAATTTGAAGTTTTAGCTCTTTCGTTTAAGCGCAACAAGCTGAAAATATACTTTTAATAATTAGAAGGTTGATTTGCAAATCTGAACTTAGTTGCCCAGAGGTGCCGCAGTTGAATCTGCACGTACAACAGAATACACAATTTTTTTCAAAGTTAGATGAATAAATCTTCAAAGGTGCAGTATTTTTACATTACCCATTAATAATGTAAAATACTGATTTCACTGCTCCAAAATAATTTTCAAATGGGCAACTGTATATTAAATCTGAATAGATAAATGCACTCTGAAAAGTCAGTAGGCTGAATTGCCATTGTGAATTCATTAGCTTCTCACAGTTTATTTTCCCTCATATTAACCTATTCAAATGTGTTATGACACACCTCCATGGCATGTGAAACTTGAGCAGGCACCTCCTGTACCAGACCAGTCCTCCTTCCTAAACGAGCTGAACACCTAGAGCCCAAATCTTTAAATTGCAAACAAATACGCATTTGAATTTGCTCCACTGAGTTTATTGTCTGTAATAGGGTTCTAACTCATCTGCAGGCCCTTCCTTTTTAAAAAATTATTAACGTAGTTTTCTAATCAACCTGTTGAAATATGTTATTACACACCTTGGGAGCAAAAGGGAGTTGAAGCCAGGCCTCCCAGTCCAGGGGAAGGGATGCTACATTTGCGCCACAACAGCCCCTTCAACTGAGTTTGTGAAGAGATAATCGGAAACCAATCATGACTGATACTGGTTAAGTGTAAAATCGATACCAGTTGAAGTTTCTTAACTGCCTGATGATTTTGCTTCGCACTTAAATGAGAAACATGTTGCTGTTATTGTACCAAACGGCCGCAGTGCCTCGCGCGGTGCCTTTTCTTTCCGCGGACTCTCTCCATCGCTTCATCTCCCCGCTTCCCCTCAGTATGAAACAGGACTGGAGATGACAAGATAACGCTGCTAATGAGATTGTCTCGGGAAAGGATCCATTTTAGGACCAGAATAAAGACAAGACAAATGCAATGTTTGAGTGAGTTTTGCTGTGAATGTTGAAACCCGGATCGCAAGGCCACATTTCTCGGGTGGGGAAGACGGGCGGTAGTAGGGGGCCAGTTTAGGAACTGCTTGTATGTGTGACTGAACAAGCTCAGCTGCAGTGAGTAAACTCTGGTAATATAACAGGGTGAGGAGACACTCTGGGGGGAGCTGTAACCTGGGACAATGCACTCTGCTTGTGTCTAAGCTGCCCCTTCACCGTTTAAACGTTACAACTCCAGTGAGCAGCCTCCTGTGGGCAGTTTGGAAACCTTTCCAGTCAACATCCCGTCCCGTTACCATGAACTGTTCAAATCCTGACTTTCTGTACCCCTGGAGTTATTCCAGTTTGGAGTCACTGCGTTTATCCTGTTCCAAAACCAAAACGAGAAAACAAGAAAGGCTCCTGCTTATTTCTGGGGCTCGTTTTGTTTTAATATTAACAGTGGCGAAGCCTTCCTGAATGTTTGTTTTGATATGACAGGATGGTACAGCAGCGTGTGTGTTGTTCAGCACTAGCCTGCTCTCAGTTTTGATTTGATTTATTGGTGTCACATGTTATCGAGATACAGTGAAAAGTGTTGTTTTGCGTGCTGACCAGACAAATCATAACTTAAATCAGGATAACAGACAGAATGCAGAATGTGGTGTAATATCTACAGAGAAAGATCAGCTGTTGGCACACACGCTATACAGAGATCATCAGCTTCATATTTTGGTTTGGGTTAGGGCTTTCCTGGGTATAAAATAATTTCGATAGAGTCAACGAAAAAAAAGTGAAAGGATCTGTTCGGAAAAGATTCAGTTGTCGGTTTGATTAGAAATCGTGAACGGCTAGATTTTGTTGAACAAACCGAAGGGGTTGGTGTGGACTCTCTGAAAGTCAGAGTTAAAACCGGATCCCTTACATCTGCTAAAAAGCTGGGAAATGCGAGGAACTGATGGGAAAGTCCGAAAGCCACAGTTTGCTTTTATTGCCGCTTTAATTTCCTGCTCTGCCTTCCACTTCATTCCCGGGTTTAGCTTCAGTGTTCCCTGTCTCTAAACACCCAGATGTGCGCGCTTCACACCGGCTGCCGCTCCTACAGATCGCCACAACCCGGGTCTGTTTTGGCTCAACTATCTCTCTCTCTCTCTCTCTCTCACTCTCTCTCTCTCTGGGAAACGGACAACTTTTTGCCGGCTTTCCGAAAACAAAACAAACCATTCAATGGGATCCGCACAAAGCAGGTCTGAAAGCCGCTAAAGTGAATGTCCAGTCTCCAACACTTCGCCCTGTGTGAGGATGAGACCGGACCTGAATTAATCTCGCGCTGAGTTGGCAAAGATCTCTAAAGGAAAACGAATATCTAATCATTACAATCGCCATAAAACTGCACAGTTTCCCTCCGAACGGGAAAGGGGATGGTTTGGGAAACATCACCGCGGGCCCTTGCAGTCCCAACCTTAACCAGTTCTCGGGAGTTTATTTTAGACTCGCTGACGAGGCTTCTAACTCTCCCGAGGTGAACTGCCGGGCGGTCTGCGTCTCTATGCTCTTCTCTTTCTCTTTTGGGTACTGGCTATTGGCGATGTCGGGAATTGGCATGGGGAGCTGGTGGTGTTCTAGTTAATCTGTCCTACTGGACATGCCAACACGCTAACATCTTTCAGTGCTGAGTGCGGACATTGTCAGAGGGGGCTAGAGGCTGGTGTGGAGTCAGTGTTAATACTTCACTTTCCTGTGACATCCTATAACCAGCTCAGACCGGTGTTCCCGGTTAATTACTACTCAGAAACCGCATTTACAAGAATGCTGTGTGCCTCACATTTGGAATCTCGTTTATTTTTTAAGAAAGTGAATATTCTCCCTTCGATTTTTAGACCAAGCATTGGAGCCACTTTAACGATGACTTTTGAACAGCACAGTTTCGTGATAACCAGTTTAAACCTCCACTAATTTGTGCATGTTTACTTTTTTAAAAAAAATGTAAACTTTCCAAAAAACAGATAGTGGTGAGTTTGTAATCCTGATACAATGAAGTTGCGGAGGCCGCTTCAAAAACGAATTAGAAAAGTAATCGTGACCTCTCTTGGAATGAAAAAAGGCAGCAGATTCTATCTCTCCTTGGGATTTAGTGACCCTACTCTCAATGAGGCATTTCTGTACTGATTTTTTTTAAAAAAGGCTGGACGAGGCAAAGCCGCCTTTACCCCTTGAGTAGCCGTGGATTAGCGCAGTCAGGACTTAACATTATTTACGAGATGAGCTAAATGAGACAGGTAAAGTGTAATTGTAGGAGAAACGGTCCGAGTTAGGCTGGGGAATCGCTCCGATGTGCAAAATGATTAATACACCCTAAGTATTTACTCGAGGGAGTCTTCAATCAGTCGCAGATTCTTAGCGTTTGCGTACCCTTACTTAAAATAAACGGGACTATTTGTGCCTTTAACTAACGCCCTACCCGTTCCCGTCACCGTTTACCTGGACACGGGCTTCAGTCAGATCCGTCCTCAGTGCAAGCTGTTCCCTGGCGTACACGTCCGGGTAATGAGTCTTTTGGAAAACCTTTTCCAGTTCCTCCAGCTGGTAGCTAGTGAAGGTGGTTCTGTTCCTGCGCTTCTTGCCTTTGTTGCTGTCACTCTCGGCCTTGTCCATGGCGTTGGACAACTCGGTGTTGGCTGTTTTCATCGCTGCCTCCTTGACGCTAAGATAGGAGCTTTCCATCACTGCTGGGTCAGGGCTCTGGGGCAGGTCTGACTCTCCCAGTGGGCTGTCTTTAGCTGAACACAAACAAGAGCAAAAATAAACAAAAAGTGAGACTTGACAGTACCGGCCAACGCTTAATAATCCTACAATCTCTTAACCCTTTCCAGCGCTGACTTCCATAAGAAAACTCCACAGGAGAAGGGTCACTCGACCCAAACCGTTAACTCTGCTTTCTCTCCACAGATGCTGCCAGGCTTGCTGAGCTTTTCCAGCAACTTTGTATTTCTGATTTACAGCAGTTCTTACGGGGTTTTGGTTTTGAAAGAAATTCCACCTTTGTTTGAATAAAGCATTCAATACCAAGAACCTACCACCAATTCCAATCGCTTAAGAAATTGGAACTCAAGAGAAAATATTCGACCCAACATTTACCGGCTCCTTGACTGATTCGCAACTTCAATTCATTTTGTTGTGGAAAGGTCGGGAGGACACCCCGTCCGGTCTATTTCTGGATGTTCATAAAAACGGCGCCGGTTCAGCGTAACGTTGGGTGTTGTTACCTGGGCCGTTCACCGACTGCTCTCAACACCAATCTCCACCCAAAGTGACCATTTACCGAAACGGTATCGAGCCCGTTGGTTTCACATGGAGCACTGAGCAACGTTAAAACTCCGCGGCTCCCGTGTATCTAAGTTTGTATTCGTTCATACCGCGGCTGTAGGCACATCACGTTAGAATATTTTCGGGCGTCATACACACTTTACAATTGAAATACATTTATCGGAGAATACAGATTGAATCATTAGCAACACATCCCGCTAGTTGTCGATCGTATTAAGTGAATATCTGATTAGATTCCCAATTTTGGGGTCACGAAGCACCGCTAATTCAGATATGAAGGCAGCTTCCAAACAGTAAGCACTGAGTAGGCGGCGCTGGAGAATCTCACTAAGAAATGTCTCAAAGCTGATTCTATTCAAAAAGGAACAAAATCCGAGGCTCGCGTTTGTACACTGGGGTCGGGAGTTAACTAAATCTTAAACTCGTCGGCCCGTCAACCTTTGTCTTCAAAATAAAAAGCATTGAGAACAAGACTGAGATGATCAAAACCTCAGTGTGTAAGTCCTGTGTGTTTGGACTCATTGTGAACCCGGTTTGTGTTCCTGTGGTATACAAACTAGGATCAGGCGCCCACAGAACTGACCCAGCACGTTCCGGGACCAGATCCTAACCGGGAAGAAGCAGTTCGATTGTACACCAAAGCCTGTTCTCTTGAACTATTCCGTGCACATTTCTCTCAGTGCGAACTCAGCTGACCCATTCCTTCCCCCCCGCACCCCCACCCGAACCCCCACAACCCCGGCATCTCCTCTGAACCCAGCCCCAGAACTCACCAAAAACTGGAGCAAAACTTCTCAAAACACTCGCCAGAGAAAAGACGGGATATTTTCAATCAACAATGGAACATTTCCATCTGACTTGGAATGATCGCTTCTGCAGGCCCATTGAGATTTAAAACACAACAAAATCACAGCTTCTAATTTCACCAGTACGAACTAATCTTTATTTCGACCAAAACAATGGTGTGTGAGTGCGTGTTTGTATTTGCAAGTGTATGTGTGTGTTTGTGTATGTATGTGTGTGTGTGGGTGTTTGTGTGTGTGTGTGGGTGTATGTGGGTGTGTGTGTATGTGGGTGTTTGTGTGGGGGTTGGTGAGGACTGTAAATACAATTGTCCCGGCCAAGTCTTGTAGCTCCTAATTTGTAGGACGTTATGTGTTATTCTGTGTAAGTGGTTTAAATCTTCAAAGCGCTGCACCTTCCTGACCCTATAATAATAATCTTAAATTACTGTAATGTTTCTGTCGTTTTCAAATGCAGTTTTGACGATGGTTAACAGCCGGTTTCAGTCGACAGAGTAACCGCTTTACCTTCGGCTGCACAGTGATTGCTGTTCTGGCGTGGCCCCTTTCGCAGACTCACGAGGCTACAACACACGAGGGGAGAATGTAAATCTCAGACTGTGTTTGTGTGTAATGTATAATTCAGACTGTATTCCGTTCCGGTGTGCAGTGTAAATTGCTGATTGTATCCCATCCCTCCTGTGTTGTGATTGGTGTGTATTCCATGAATTAATAAGAGTGCCTTTCAGGTGATGCAAATCCCGTTTGCTCTCTGCAGTCCGCCTCTGCCTCAGAGAAACTCCGCCAGTTAAAAGTTTCATTTATCACTATTATCTCATCTGATGTAGGATCCATTTGTATTCGAAAACTTTTGATTTGTGCGTGTGTATACAAAGAATACAACTTTTTTTTAACAACACGAGATGAGGTAGGAGAGCCAAGCAGTGGATGAGAAGAGTTGTCTTTCTTTGACCTTTTTTTATTGTTGGATAATTTTGTTATTTACCAAGAAACGTCATTTCCTGTTAGACCCAATATGTTTCTGAATGAGTTTACATTGTCTCCAACAGAGCGGTTCCCAAAGATTCTCTGAACATGTGCAGTACAGGAGGTGATAGGGCCGAGAAACTTCCTGTACTCAGATACAGTGCAACAGGTCATTACCGTTAAAGAATCCATCCCTATCCGACAAAGGAAGCTGATCCTTTCGAGAGTGTGTCATTTAAAGGTAAAACAAATGCCAACGAATTGTCCCCTGAATTTCGGAGTGCGCGCAGTCCGAAACCCCAGCTCATGCGAGTTATATTTAACATCATTTCAGGAGACAAAACAAATATTTAGTAACAGAACGCGAGCATTGCAGTTAGTAGTAATTGATACTGATTGTAATGTTGCAGCAACATGCGAATGAAACAGTACTTCTATAGAGGCAGTAAAGCGTGCCCATTAACAGAAGGAAATATTGTCCGCGTGTTATATTCCACAATTCCAGGGAAAGAATTGCATCTTTTTACAGGTACTATACAGGGCACTAGGGAATCAAACGAAACGGCCTGAACATTGGAACATTTGTTCGCCTAACAGAGATTTCAGTCAATAAACTATATTTAATTTCCACGACTTCCTTTTCTGATATCCGCACCGTTACGTTCACTAAAGTGCCGCAGACCCAGAAACCTTCATGACCCTTTGTGACCTTGCATCGCGGGGTGGGGGTAAACAGTGTCACCCAGCGGGGTTTGGAATTTTTAAAATCCAAACGGGACACTTAGGCACTTGAACGGCTCAGATTTGTACCAATTTTGCGGTACCTTCCAGTCTGTAGCTGATCTAGCCCTGCCATTTATCTCCGTATGTGTGTCTAAGGATAATCTCACGGATTGGAGGAGACAGAGAAAGAGAGTGTAGGAGAGCCACGGACCCTTCCTAATGTGTACAAATTCACGTTTCTTTGTACAGCAAGCCCTTACCTCTCAGTCCTGGTTTGCAATTCTCCCCCAAAGTCCAACAGAAAATAGTCAGATTCCCCCGCTGACCAGCTCGCCAGAGGCTTCCCCGCACGTTTTAAAATTCCTCTTTGGGGTGTTTTGTTTGATTGCGCAAAGTGCTGGCTAAGCGATGGAGGAATCCCTGGGCAAAGCGAGCTGGAGTGAAATGGGTTTTGTCAAGCGATTTTTTTAAAAGTGAAAGTGATGCTGGGAACTCTCTCTCTCTCCGCTCAGCCTATGATTTAAGGAGCGGAAAATGCCAAAAGTAAATGCGTCATCCCCCCACCCCCTCCTTACCCCAAACCCCTGGTGTCCTCCGTCTCCCTAAAAAAAACCCGCACATCACGAAATCGGGAAGGAGCCAGAGCAGGAGCCGCTTCTTCGGCTTCCATTTCTCAAACTGGACGTTCAGCATTTACAAAGGAAACATCAAATGATTTCGTACATTTTTTTTTAACGAAAGCAGCCGGTTATACCTAGGAGTTTGCAAACTATTTTCAAATATACTTCCCCTATGTCCCACAGAATTATTCGAAAGGAGCTAAGTACACTAGTCCAAATATGACGCCCCTCAAGTTTTTTTTTATTTTCCCAAAAGGAAATTCAGCCAATAAATCGCTGCGTGGGGCGATACAATCTGGGATTTAATGTGATCCATTTGTAGCGATCGATTGCATTTGCCAGTGGGTTTCCTCAGATGTGCTGGTGTACGGGACTCTGGTTTAAACTAGAGCCGAGGTGTTGTGGTCACCTCCAGACAGAAGTGCACTCGTTACAAAATCTTGCGGTTCATTCCAATAAAATAGTGGAAATTAATCCTTATTGAAGCCAAACGGTCAAAAGCGAAGACGATTACTCAGTTTATTCTCTAAATGTTTTGTAAAAGCTGATCCACAGTTTTGCTTCTGACCTTGTGGTGTGGTAGAGAATGGTGGGTGATCCAAACCGTTATTTTCCAGTATCCCACAGCACAATATAAAACGGGGGTTCTGCAAGCAGGAACCTATTAACATTAAGCACATGTTGAGCACTCCAATTTTCTCTAACAAAGTTCAGACGAAGTTATTACTGGTGTAGGCTGTTCTGGTCTTTAAAATTAACCTGTGCTGTCTAATCTAAATGTAAGCTTTATCCAGACGGTACCTTGTTACCTGTTTAACATTGCTGTAACATTCTACAGGTAATATGCACATACCAGGTGTGTATCAGAGACACAGACTCATTTTATTCCCCGAAACAGAAATTAGTTTGAATACAGTTGTATGGCATATAAGGCCTCCTATCGAAAGTATAGTGAAACTGGCGGATCCAAGTCATGCTGCCTGCTAACCGGCCCTCCGGGTCAGCTTATTGACACTCCCTGTTGGCTACTTTCATGCAGAGCATGAAAGCCGAGGCAGAAGCGGCCAACTCTTCGCATTGAAACGAGAGTTCACCAGAGATGCCCCACAGTCTTAACGAGCCGCTTGGAGCTGGAACACGGACTGTGTGTGATACTTTCCTGCAGCCTGGTGTTAGGGTCTTCCAGTGCTAAGCGTCAGCCCCAACTTGGAGACTGAACATAGAGTGCGAGTCAGTTGGTTTTCCAGCGTATTGGGGGCGGGGCAGTGAGACCCCCAGGAACCAGGAGTCAACCTCACAGTTCATTCACAATCTGGACCTCTTCTGAGTTCCAGCTGTCAC